ACACACACACACACACACACACACACATATAAATTGAATTTTGGGAAACTTTAACGGTGCTGCCAACTTTGGAAAAAGTCATCCCAATTTACTGTGTTGACTTGGCACTGTAGAGAAATGGACAACCATATTGGTCTAGAAATGTTAATTTATTTTATTTTATTTTTTTTCCATGTGTACAGGGGTAACACATCGTACTAAATATGTAAGGTCATATCTATGTGGGTTTGATTCCAGAAACTAATAAAGTATTCTCTAAATAATGAAAAAAGAATAAGATAAGACTATAAGAGCAAGAAGCAATTTAAATATGTTCAGGGACCATTTTCATCTCAAGAATTAAGGATTATTTTGATGTTACATCATTGCCTTTTCTCTTTTACTTTCCTTTTTAGTTTTATTTTAGGATTCTCTATTTTTAATGTTCATAGAGATTTCTTTAACTGAAATACCGAATAGTTTCTTTGGTGTGAAAAATTATAATAGTACACAGGATCCTAATGAGACAATTAATAATGTGAAATAGGAAGTAAAGGGCTAAAGTGTAAGGAAAGTGGGAAGGGTGGGGGAAAGGTAATAAGGGAGAGGAAAAAAATATGAGAAACTGAAAAAATGGAAATAAAGTGTTTGTAAATGGGGAGGGGAAGAGGGGGTGAAGGGAGGGTAGGGACAAGGGGAAAAATGAGAATCAAGACCTATTATTGAAAGGTACAGAATCCCAATGATGAATGTAACTGTATTTGTATACCTAGATTGTACCAATAACCTCAATAAAAAAGGAAAAAAAACCAGAAACACCTAGGGCTGGGGATTTAGCTCAGTGGCACCGTGTCTGCCTTACAAGTGCAAGGTTCTGAGTTCAAAACCCAGTACCCCCCACAACAGAAACATTCAATCTGCTGGAAAATAGGCAAAACTCGAAGACATAGGCATAGGCAAGGACTTTCAGAACAGAACCCCAATGGCACAAAAAAATAATACCAAGAATCACCAAAGAGTTAAAGGTTTCATCTTACAGTGATATATGCATACCCATGTCAGTTTATAATAGCTAAATCTTGGAAAGAGCCTATATGTGCATCAACAGATAATGAATAAAGAAAATGTTGTATTTACACACAACAGAGTACTACTCTGCCATAAAGAAAGATAAACTTGGTTAGTGTTGTGGACAACTTCATACTTTTCTGTTTTGTTTTCCTGCTTCTCTGTGACAGCTCACCGTGGTGTCCATTTGAATCAGAAACACTCAGCTGGTTGGTTTAGCACAGTCCTGGGTGTGGACGATGGACTTACGGAGAAGGGAAGACCCACCCCGAGTGTGGGTGGCCCTGACCAATAGGCTTGTGGCCTGGACGGAATAAAGAGGGAGAGGAGGAGGAAGGCTTGCTTCTGCTTCTTGGGAGGAACCCTGGTCTCTGCATTGCTTTTGGGCACCTGTCTCCCTCCAGGCTTCCAGCGCAAGCTCTTCAGCCTTCCTGTGTAGATGCTCTAGCCTTCTGACATGGTGTCGCACCAGACTGCAGCGAGCACACTTTCATCTGGATCCTCCAGCTCTCCAGCGTGCACACAACCCTGTGCCCTCTTCCACACCTGGCCCGGGTGTGCCTGCCTTGTAAACCACACGTGTACACAGCATTGCACCTGCTCTTCAGGGAGCCTTAGCGGTACAATCTCCTGGCTCCTCTCTTCCTCCTCAGAGCAGTTTGTCCTTTCTAACTCTACTCCGACACAGAGCCATTCACAGGACGCTGCTCTCATCCTGCCACCTCAGCTGGAGGTCCTGGGCTCCTTGTCACGAGTGAACGTCACTAGTCACACACTTGTCCACACACTGCCCTTCCTCGACCACATACTCTCCTTTACGTTCTGTTCCCGCTTGTGTTCTTTGTGTTCTCGCTAAGCTCCTCCCTTCTTCCCAGCCCTTCTCACTCTTGCTTTCCTTTTGGGAGTCTTACCCTCTTTTACCTTCTTCTGGGCAGAGCCAATGCAGA